ACCTTTATTTATATAGAGCTTTTTACAATACTGAGTGTTTCAAAGCAGCTATACAGAGATAACAGGAAAATAATGCAGCAACGTTTTTTTTTTTTTTTGAAGAAAATAGTGTCACAGTCCAGCTTATTCATTAATTTAATTTATTTAAAAAGCACAATTAAAACAACGTAAACAGCTTAAGTAAGTTCAGTGATGGTTTATTTTTGTTGTAAAAAAGGTATTAATTTAGTCCATTTATATATATAGCCGATCTGGAAAAAACCGTGATGTCATCGTCCAGCTCAGTTCAGTTCTCATATAATGGTGTCAATGCAGGCAGATCAATAATATTGTTGAATATTATTTGGGCCCATGGATGCGGCCCTCTTCCCTCTGAGACAGAATGGAGTGTGATCCTGAATTACCTCGATGATTGGCTCGTATTGGCCCAGTCCGAGATCGAGTTAGACACTCACAGATCCTTGCTCCTCAGCCATTTGGAACACCTGGGACTCAGGAGCAACTTAGCCAAGAGCTCCCTGTTTTCCAGCTAGCTACTTGCCTTCCTAGGAGCAGTTTTCGATTCAGCCCAAATGTGGGTCAAGCTCACACTGTGGCTATCCAGTGGCTCGCTGAGTCTTTCAGAGTCGGGGCTTCACTCCCCCTAAGAACCTTTCAGAGGCCTAATGGCGTCCGCATCATCAGTAATTCTGCTGGGCCTGCAACACATGTGGCACCTGCATTATTGGCTGAAACCCTGTGTCCAAGCCCACATATCAAGGTCCTGGGCCCTTGGACGGACCCCAGTCGGTACCAGACCGGCGTAGACTTGGGGTCGGTCTCTGGGGGAATGTGGTGTCGACAGATGCCTCCAACATGGGTTGAGGAGCTCTGTGCGAGGGCTGGCCGACATCCGGCTCCTGGTTGAGCACGGAGAAACGGCTGTATATCAACTGCCTAGAAATGCTGGTGGCTTTTCTGGCCCTCAAAACCTTCCTGCCAGACCTGAAAGGGCACCATGTCTTAGTCCGCTCGGACAACATGATAGTGGTGCCCTACATAAACCACCAAGGTGTACTCAGATCGAGGCCTCTGTACAGACTAGTGAGATGCCTCCTCTTATGGGCACAACGCAACCTGTGCTCAATGAGAGTAGTGCACATGCCGGGCAGACTGAACCAATAGGCAGACATGCTGTTCTGGGGCAATGTGTCCCCAGGGGAATGGACCTCACCCCCTTATTGTTCCAACATTGGACCTGTCTATGGTCCTCAAGTCCCTCAGGGGCCCTCATCGAGCCGCTTCAGTCGGTCTTTTTCGCTAAAGACCGGCCTTCTACTAGCCCTAGCAACGGTCAAGGGTGGGTGACTAGCAAGCGCTCGCTGATAGTGCATCTTGTTATGAGTTTGGGCCTATTGACTGTAAAGTTATCTTCAAATCCACAGAATCGAGAAAGAGCTATCAATCTGTCAATCCTTTCCGTGTCCGGGCCGGGTGAGATTTCCCGTGTTGAGTCAAATTAAGCCGCAGGCTCCACTCCTGGTGGTGCTCATCCGTCAATTCCTTTAAGTTTCAGCTTTGCAACCATACTCCCCCCGGAACCCAAAGACTCGTGGTTTCCCGCACGCTGCCCGGCGGGTCATGGGAATAACGCCGCCGGATCACGGGTCGGCATCGTTTACGGTTGGAACTACGACGGTATCTGATCGTCTTCAAACCTCCGACTTTCGTTCTTGATTAATGAAAACATTCTTGGCAAATGCTTTCGCTCTCGTCCGTCTTGCACCGGTCCAAGAAATACACCTCTAGCGACACAATACGAATGTCCCCGGCCGTCCCTCTCAATCATGGCCCCGGGTTCCAGAAACCCACAAAATAGAACCGGAGTCCTATTCCATTATTCCTAGCTGTGGTATTCAGCGGCAACGGGCGGCCTGCTTTGAACACTCTCATTTTTTCAAAGTAAACGCTTCGGGCCACGAGGACCGGACACCCAGTTAAGGGCATCCGGGGGGCGCCGTGAGGCAGGGGTCCGGGACAGGCGGTGGCTCGCCTCGCGGCGGACCGCCGGCCAGCCCCCGAGATCCAACTACGAGCTTTTTAACTGCAGCAACTATTGGAGCTGGAATTACCTCGGATGCTGGCACCAGACTTGCCCTCCAATGGGTCCTCGCCCATGAGTTTAGGATATGCTCATTCCACTTACAGGGCTTTGAAAGAGACCTTTATTGTTATTTTTTGTCACTACCTCTCCGTGTCAGAAATGGGTAATTTGCGCGCTTGCTGCCTTCCTTGGATGTGGTAGCCGTTTCTCAGGCTCCCTCTCTGGAATCGAACCCTGATTCCCCGTTACCCGTGGTCACCATGATAGGCGCCGAATGTACCATCAAAAGTAGATAGGGCAGACATTCGAATGAGTCGTCGCCGCCGTGGAGGGCGCACGATCGGCCCAAGGTTATCTAGAGTCACCAAAGCGGCTGTGGCGGCCGGACGACAGTAAAGTCGTCTTCAAACCAAGGAACGGCTATGTACTTAAGGTGCTCTCTACTCTGTTCAGAGCACAGGTCATTACTCTCTCTGCTCTTCCCGTTTCAGAGGATGATCAAGTGTTGCACTTACTCTGTCTGGTTCGGGCCTTAAGAGCATATATCGAGTATATCCAGTTCAGGCAGTCAGAGCAGCTCTTCTTGTGCTTTGGGGCCGCACCAAAAGGCATCTGGTTAAGATTAACCCACTGGATAGTGGGCGCAATTGCATTAGCTTAAGCTTCATTGGGCCTCCAATGCCCCATCAGAGTGAAGGCTCACTCCACTAGAGGCATGGCCTCCTCCTGGGCGACATCTGTGTGACGTCCGGCTGGTCCTCGCCATCCACATTCGCCAGATTTTATAATTTGGACGTCCCTGCTCTTCAAGCACAGGTCCTATCTGTTTGGCTGGGCTTTGACCTCTATACGAGCTCAACCCACTAGAACTCTTTCCCTCGGTGATCCGGCATAGTAGTCTAGGCCCCTTAGTCTCGGGCGAATGCCTCACCCTATCTTAGCCTTGCTGCCTTAAGGACCCTTATGCTCAAGTGTCTTGGGCTAGGGTCTTAGAACGATTGTCATTCTGCAGTTATAGCATTGCGCTATTGGATTGGGAACGAGTACTTCGTAACTGGCCATGCTATCATGCTGCACAAATCGGCGTTTGTCGTTTCAGTTAAATTGTCCTGAGATCCTATGGCAGGTGCCCCGCTTATAGCGTATTGTAGCATTTGCATTATCCATTGTAGCATTATCCGTTGTAGCATTATAGCATTATCTTTTACTCAAAATACTTTAAAACGGACTACTTGCACTTCTACTTCTGCGTTCTGTGTCGCGTTATTACGGCTCAGGTGTTTCCAATAGCAGCATTCAGATCAAAAAGACCTCATGAGAATGCAGACTATACTACTTTTACGGGTTCTCAAGTGATTTAAAACAGCACACCATAGTTTCAGTATTAACATGATTTATCGTAAAAACGAACTTACTGAAATATTCCTATAAATATATTTTGTTTGTCTTTCCAAATGTGAATCCTTAATAATTAATAAAAAGTATTTCTCCACTATCTTGCAGCAGTTTTATCCTGGTCTTCTCATGAACCCTATTTTCGCTCACTGATCAAATCCCAGATTTCAAGTAAACATTGAAACAATGCTGAAAGTCAATGTTGATGCATCAATATAAATGGAACTAAACTTACATCAAAGTGCTGTTTGTTCATCATCACTTTTGTACGCTCAGTTAATGTTGAAAGTGAAAGTATGTTGAAAATCAATGCTTATAAATCAATGCAAGTTAACATAAAAAAATCAATGGTGATTGAAACAATGTTACAATATGATATGTTAATGTTGAAAATGCTGAAATTCCAACAAAAAAAAAATCAATCGTTATAGGTTAGATAATACTGTTGATTCTAGATCACTATTTGTTGAAAGAACATTGGAAATACAGCAGAGATGTAATGTTAACATAGTTAAATACATGTTAATAATTAAAAACAGAAAAGAAGAGTTGAGTCTTTTCAGTAGTTGAGTCACACAGTTTAACACGATCAATGATAAGAAAGACAAAGGTAAAGGTGGGACAAAGAGAACAAAATATTACATCAGACTACTGCCTGCCTCTTTTCCTTCTGAAAAAGAAAGCATGATGTCATCTAATACTGATTTAGTTTTGTGAATGGTTACATGATAAAGCTGTAATCAGGGAGCCAGAGTTTAAAGTTTAATTTTCTTGCTCACAAACGTGTCATTTGCTCCTGAAGGGATCTATAAATAATGCCGGAACTTAATCGAGAGAAAGACTTTAAATGTTTAATCCAACTTATATGTTGAAAAATGTACGGTTTATTCAAACCCCCAATTTAATGACCTTAAAAATGTATATATTTAATTTCAATCAGTAACACAAAAAAAACACAAGAAAATCACAGAAATCACACACTCTAGACTAGAATAACTACTAGTATAGCTGAATAAGTACTACATCCGCCATGTTGTCATCATGTGATCTACCAGCGTCAGTTGCGTCGCCTTAGTGTCATTTATAAATCCTCTCCCGTGGCCTCATGGGATAGTAAAGTGTCCATTGTGAGTACACTTCAGAAGTAGTAGGTCATCCGGGTGCTCTTTTATGCTCTATAAAGTAGGGAAGTATGCAATTTCGGATGCAGCTGCAGAGAATTTGAGTTTGTGTGGGGTTGTTCATCTAACAAGACTAATAGGGAAGCATCGGTTTGCAGTTCACATGATCTTGTGGTCATCAACTACAAACCACCAGGCTCATTTGAGATGTAGGCGAGAGTAGATGACTGCGGTCAGTGGAGGGAAATAAGTGCAGTCAAAACGGACAGTTCTCACTTCTCATAGTGTATCAAACACCTATGAAATCATGTGAAGGAGATATGATTTAATTATGTGATTTATGCACTTGGTTGCTAAAAAACTGGATGTAATTTGAGTTCTGTTGCTTTAATATGAAATTAAATATGATGAACTCAAAGTACCGGTTATTAAGCATTCACTGTTGTAAATCCCCCAGAATGCAGTGCGGGCTGAACTGTACAGTGATCGCAAGGAGAGGTGGCGTCCCGCAGGAGCGTGAGCTAAAGGCATGTGTGCCAGAAACACCTTCTAAAGGGATCTGCACTGACACACCCGTCGAGACCGTCCTCATCATCTCATCATTCCTGCAGTCCACCGACCACACACGACGGGTGAGTAATGTATGTGTGTGTGTGTGTGCTGCACGTTTATACAGTTAGAGAGCGAATTAGAGCCAATGGGAGGTGGAGCTTGACGTCTAGCCACACCCAAACCCTAACCCTAACCATAGACTGTAAAACCAATATGGACGTAGTATCCGTGACGTCACTCGTAGTGTTTCTGAAGAGCATTTTTCGGAGCCAGCCGTCGCCAAAATGGGCAGCGAGGCGGATTAGCTGAGGTGACGTGACGCTAACAGACAGCAGACAAGCGCTAGTAGTGACATCAGCGGCAATCCACCTGTCACTCAAGAGGCCACGCCCTTAATTATGCAGAACTTTAAGGCTCAATATAATTTAAACAGATGAGTTATAAAAAGAATCCACCTCCCCCCTCACAGTTACATATGTTTTTCTATGGGATTGACTCTCTTTTGCAGCCTGTCTCTAGTGGCCAGTCGATGAATCGCAGTTTAAGTCACTTCCATGTAGGTTTCAAGAGAGAGACAGGACGGTTGCCGCTTGATCATAACCCTATTCTATACCTAAACAGCACAGGTGGAGCTGGACTAGGTCAAACTCCACCCATGACGCCCAGAGAGACGGAGCTGGACGTAACTGGGCTCTGCAGTGACCACCACTTGTAAAAATGTAACTCCCTTTGAAAGAAAGTCTGTTCACTCGGTGGCCATATTTGCAACGCAGCTGTTTCGGGCATCCTAGAGCAAGTACAACTTGAATGGGGGAATCCTGTATTCCCCAAAACTGCTCAAATACTAACCGAGTCTCAAAAACATGTTGTTTCTTATGCTCAAATAGTGTTAAAAAAAGTATTTTTCAGGCTAGACCAGCCAATCAGCCACGATGACTTTTATCAATCAGTGATTGGATTTTTATTTAGACGGCCATTTTGCACTTTGCACATTTTCCCATTCATAAATATGAGTGCGGCGTCTTTGGAAAATCCACAAATATCTGGACTTCACCACCATTTACTCAAGCCAATCGGATAACGGACACCTTGGCCATGTTTACACCTGGTATTAAGATGCGTTTTGGTCGATTAGATTAAGTGGACGACGATAAATACAGGAGTAAACGGGTCTAAAACGCTTCGAGCTCGTCCAGTTTCCTCCACTCACAGAGTTAGTTGAAAACACATTCGACCGGATTGCTTTCGTAGTGTGAACGCTCATGTGATCGAATGTGTTCAAACAGCCACTAAAGGCCGTCTTCTCTCCGGCTGCTGATGTAATGCGGGAACATTATGCGAAGAGCGATAGCCAGACGGGGTTTAAACTGTCGACTGAAGACCCAAGTTTGGGTTGAAGATAGGGGTGGAACGGTATAGCCTACATGTATTCGTGTCGAACCGAAACGGTACGGGCGTCACGGTTCGGTGCACGAATTTACACGGAGAATACACGGTATAAAAATAAATAAAACTCGCGTGCAAATTAATTAATGTAATGCGGAACTACTGTTAGATACGCGGGTTCTTTAGGGACACATAATATGTACCATCGGCTTAGCTCTGAACGCGCGTTCACTTCAAACGTTGGCTTTATACGCGCGTCCTATTCGCTTTGGACTAGCGGCGAACTAGACGCGATATACGCTCTATTCGCGTTTGGTGTGACCGCATAATGAACAGGCTGCGATGTCAAGATTGCAATGCTGGAGTGTGTGTGTGTGTGTGTGTCAGTGTGTGAGAGAGAGAGCCGCAGGCGCGATCAAACAGTGGAAACATAAAAAACATTCTCCGTCATTTCGTTCATACAGATCATTAAACCTGCCAAGTGTTTACTTATATTTGTGTAGCTACACTTGCAATAAAACACAACATTGTGATTTTGTCACACTGTAAACTCTTGTCAAACTGTAACCTGCAACTGTCACCCAACCAAAATCACACACACACACACACACACACACACACACACACACACACACACACACACACACACACACACTGTTTTAAAAGCAAAACATATTTATCCAACTCCATTTCAAAACAGTCTGTTGGTCCCATCTTTTAGACATTCGTCATATCGCATTGGTTTTCATTTCTCGTCCTCGGAGCACTAATCTTACACACTCTACATTGATTAAAAAAGAAAATCGAATGTGTTTTTAATGGTAGTATTATTTTATACAGAAATCAATTATTTATAATTCAGATGAAAATAATGGTACATTGTTAATTAATAATGTTAATTAAAATTAAGGAAAACAAATATATTGATCTGAAATATAGCAAAATAATTTTTAATTAATTCAGGTACAATTACCAAACATATCGCAAGGTCTTTTTGTCTTTTTATTAATTTAATTAATAAACTAATTATATAAAACTATTGTCAGTGCACTACAAATAAACTGGTTCTATGCCTTTATTAATAAAACTTATTTAAAAAATACAATGCCTTCTGCATTTTTGTTTTGCTTTTCCCTCCATTGTACCGAAATCGTACCGAACCGTGATGTCTGAACCGAGGTATGAACCGAACCGTGACTTCTGTGTACCGTTCCACCCCTTTGTCCATTGTCCAATCACACATCATAGCAACCGTTACTATGTGAGCAGGTCCGTCAAACATTGACTCCAAGCAAGATGGTGAAGCGGTGCGCCCACGGCGTTTGTAAATCGGACACTAGATACCCCAAATGATTGTCTGGAGGAGTTGTGTTCTTTCCGTTTCCAAAGCCGAAAACACAACGTGAGCGGTGCCTACAATGGATAAAAACCGTGTGGACGGCCCCACTCCCAGTTAAATGTGTCGAACATGGTTAACCCGTGCAGCGTGCGTGAGACTGAGACACTGAGATTAGTCAAAGAAACATGGAGAAAGCAGATCAAGAGGATCCACAATGGAATTACGTTTTCTAAAGGGTTGTTGTTAACATGATATTCTCGGGGGAAATGAGCAGCAGTGCAGCACCCGTAGACTAACGTTACAGTGCACATTCGCAACGGGGAAAGCATGAAGCTTACTTGACAACACCAGTTCATATATCAATATCGTAATGAATAGAAATAACCTTAAATAATATAATGTTATGGTTATCTGCATCTTTCCGTCTCTTATGTATAGTTACTTTTTAAACACGAAAATGGCATTCAGCATGACACGCAAGCGGTTGCTGTGGTAATGAACAACCTGCTTGTTTAAGAGAATAATCCTGTATCTGAGGCAAAATGACTAAATATGCAGCGCGAGTTATATATTTCTAACTCCAAACAATTAGCCACTGTACCAGCTTATAAAATCTTCTTCAAGGCTGTGCTGGTTGCATTTGAGGTAAGTTACAGGTCATGGGGTTTCTCAGATTTCGCTTGAAACCGGTATAAGCATTAGCCTCGATAGTAGTCGTGTGTCTCCTTCATTGTGTATTTTTATGTTTTGAATATATCCCTCCACTGCACACTGTAACCCCTTTTGGATGGTGGAGTATATCGCTGAGGTATTGCTCCATAAAAGGTCACTGACATGCACGGGTATACCTCTTCCCGTCATGGCAATCTGTCGCGCTGGTCGTGTTTGACCATTTGTTTGACGGGCGTAGCAACAATAACTAGGGGGCGTGACTTTTGCGAACGGTCAATTGTCCATTAGATTGAAAGATCTGAAAAACCCATACATTTACTCCCCCATAGACCCTCCCCTCGAAGAAATCAGGACAGAAGTGTTTGAAAGTGGACAAAAGAGATGAATTAAGACACCAGGTGTAAACAGGAGTGTGTGTCTCTCGCCTACCTGTGATCCGATCGAACAATACCCATTTTAACACCAGCTGTAAACAGGGCCTTTGAGCCGCATGTTGTAGCTTCAACCAATCATGCTTTGTTGGGAAACAGACTTGTTTTGAACTCCTCGCCCTGAAAAGAAATGTATTATTTATTTAGTAGTATCAAGGAACTCAAAGCCCATATATGCTTCTGTGAATGCCAGAAACCCTGTTTTACACCTGAATTCTAAAAAATGCCAGGTTGTTTCAACCCAACTTTGGGTCAAACGTGGACAAACCCAGCCGTTGGGTTCATTTTTTTTAATACAAATTTTAACCCAACGTTCGGGTTTGTCCATATTTGACCTAAAATTGGGTTAAAACAACCCAGCATTTTTTAGAGTGAGGTGAAGAACTAAACCGCCCATAATGCTGGGAAGAGTGTGTTGATGTGTTCGACAACACAGCTGCTCTGCCGTCAGTAAAAATAAAATATGTGCACTTCTAACAGGTATAGAGTGTTTTGTTCTACTGCACACCACTGTATTTTGTTGTTGTGTTTTATGTAAGTTGCTTGCATAAGGACTTGATGGTCCAAATCATGAAGCACTGAAACTTACATAATGTGTAGTCTTTATTTAGCAACTTAATATTAGCTGCATCATTTATTTAAGGATTATTGTTTATGTTTAGATGGAGTGTGTTTTTGGTAGATAATGATGTGTATTGTGTGTATGTTTAGATGGTATGGTCTGTATTATTAGTAACAGTAGCTGGGCAGATGTGGAAAACACATGGTTGTTGTAGTTGAGAATTTCTGGTGCTGTGAGAATACGGTTTCATGTTTAAAGTCGGGATGAAAAGGAAGTGTTTTCTTCCCTATTGTGACAATTAGGTTTTTAGTAAGCTGTGCCATTGCAGAACTAACAGGGAGGCTTAATGATTTAAAACAAGTATGATTGTTGATCGGTGTCTGGCCCCATGAGTGAACCTCTCGCAAGATAAATCAGCTTTTATTAGGCTAACAATATGTTTTTCTCGTATTAGTGCACATAATTAAAAAAAATATGATGTGTGTATAGAAACAGCTTTACTTTGGGGACAGATGTGTCCCCGTTTAACTCTAACAAAACCATAATCTGCTCCCTTTTTTCATCTCATATCAGCTCAGAGAGCCGTTTATTTGAAATACAAATGAAGAAAATATTTGAAAAGTGTGAATAAGGTGTTTAACGTGTAGTTGAAACTGAATGTAGTGTTGATGGGATGAGCATCTGTAGGAG